TTTGCCATTCTTCTTCAAATAGATTTAAATGGCTTAGGCGGGTCCTCCTATGCCATATAGAGATTTTTTTTTCAATGTGTGGCTATTTTCTTCCCCTTCCACCCCACCCTTCTTCCATGTTCCAAAGCACTTCATTATGAATGAAGCGTGATGCAATTTTTTTGCCTCAGTAATTCTCCACTGGATCTGTCTGTGTCAGGGATAATCTTTATAATCTGCAGGCAGAATGCATAGCCTGTATTGGAAAACAGGTGAAAGATGGGAGAATCAGCTTAAATTGTGTGGGAGTGCCCTCCGCTGGCTACCTGCAGATCACCTGTGAGAGTCCATTCAGGTTTTGGAAGTCAAGGAAGCAGGAAATCCAGAATAGTGGGAGCAGTATTGCGGTATTGTTCCTGTTACATGCTCTGGGCACCGTAAAAACAAACTCACAAAATGTCTTGTTGAAGGTTTTCATGGCTGGAATCACTGGGTTGATGTGAGTTTTCCAGGCTTTAGTCCAGAAGCATTCTCTCCTGGCATTTCACCCACATTTATGGCAGACTTCCTCAGAGGTTGTGAGATCTGTTGGAAATTAGGCAAGTGAGGTTTATATATCTGTGGAATGTCTAGGGTGGGAGAAAGAACTCTTGTCCATTTTAGGCTGATGAGGAGATATTGGAAAATAGATATTTATTTATGTATAAATTGTATGTACTTTACAAGCACTGAAATGTATAGAAAAATCAAGTTCTCTCTGTATAGAAAGAATTCTAACAGGACAAGCAAGCTGCTGTCCAAGGCACAGCAAGAGGGGGGCTGAAGAGGGGGGCATGTTATCTATACATTCCAGGAGAGAGATAAGCCTGTCCTAGTTGCAACGGACTGGTACAACCAGGCTCTAAGGAAAGAGCCAATGCCTCTCCCTCATGACAAGTCAAAGCTAGGCCTCTTGATTGATTAGTGTAAGCTGCATGCTCGCTCTTTAGAAAGACACAAAGACATGCATGTTTTTGCATGTTGGAAGGTAGAACTTGATATTCGTATGATGCTAAGGTGACGCAGAGAATGACGTCAATGTATGTATAAACATGTTTCTTTGTTTGCCTGCATTTGGAGGCTATAAAAGGCATAGTCCGCACCTATATCATTGCTCTGGTGCTTTTAGACACAACTCCTCACCAGAGTCCCAGCTGGAAATAAAGCCGTACTTTTCTCCGGAAAGGGTCTCTCTTGATAGCATCTCTCCTATCTATGCTGCAACAAGGCAAGTGTGAATGTTGCAATTGGCCATGATTAGCATTAAATGGCCTTGCAGCTTCAAAGCCTGGCTGCTTCCTGCCTGGGGGAATCCTTTGTTGGGAGGTGTTAGTTAGCCCTGATTAGTTTCCCCTGGGTTTTTTTTTTTAGTGTTGCTCTTTATTTACTATCCTGATTTTAGAGTTTTTTTAAAATACTGGTAGCCAGGTGGGTTGCTGTGAGTTTTCCGGGCTATATAGCCATGTTCCAGAAGGATTATCTCCTGACATTTCACCCACATCTATGGTAGGGATCCTGAGAGACTGAGGGGTAGCCAGATGTTGTTCATTTTCATTGTTTTCTCCTTTCTGTGGAAATGTTTGTGGATTTCAATGGCTTCTCTGTGTAGTCTGACATGGTGGTTGTGAGAGTGGTCCAGCATGTATGTGTTCTCAAATAATATACTGTGTCCAGATTGGTTCAATAGGTGAGCTTCTATGGCGGACTTCTCTGGTTGAAGTAGTCTGCCGTGCCTTTCATGTTCCTTGATTCATATTTGGGCGCTTTCTCCCACATGGCCATATAGCCCGGAAAACTCACAGCAACCCAAACTCACAAAATATCTGAATGAAATCGATACAGATAGAATCACAAAAGCCAAGTTACAATTTGTTCTTGCCAGGAGCAACTTGAGAAACTGTAAGTCGCTTCTGATGTGAGAGAATTGGCCATCTGCAGAAACGTTGCCCAGTGGATGCCTGTATGTGTAACCATCCTGTGGGAGGCTTCTCTCATGTCCCTGCATGAGAAGCTGGAGTTGACAGATGAGAGCTCACCCCATTCCCCAGATTTGAACTGTCGACCTTTCGGTCAGCAGTCCTGCAGGCACATGGATTTAACCCACTGCACCACTGGAGGCTCAATTTATTTATTTATTTATTTATTTATTTGCAGCTTTTATATTCCGCCCTTCTCACCCCGCAGGGGACTCATGGCGGATCACAGTGTACACATATATGGCAAACATTCAATGCCAATTTTTGACATACAAACATTTACAGACATACACAGAGGCTATTTAACTTTTTCTGGCCACCAGGGGAGCTGTCGCTTTCATCATCCATCTGCGACGCTGATGAAGCACTTCCGCATTCCGCATGCTTCCCCGCTGGAATGCTTTGCTGGAGTCTTCTTTATGGCCTCATAAATCAGTTAATTTAGCCTCCCCACACTTTAAGGTGGTACCTTATTTTCCTACTTGACAGATGCAACTGTCTTTCGGGTCGCAAAGGTCGACAACAGGCTACACACAATTGGTTGGAAACCCACTCCAACCCGGGCTGGCTTTGAACTCGTGACCTTTTTGGTCAGAGTGATCTTAATGCAGAGTGATCTTAATGCAGCTGACACGCAGCCTGCTGCACCACAATTTATTTACAAAATAAAAATGTCATACTTGGAACATGCCACATCAGACAACAATGCTTCATTGCTTCTTAGGTTCTTGGATAGATTTGAAATCACTGATGGTTGAAAAAGTACCCTGAGAATTAACTGGTCGATCTGTCGTAATGGATTACAATAGCACAATTACAAAAAGTCAGCATAAGCAAGACATGGCTTATTATCTTATTATTCTTGATGAATTACTAAATCATTGGAGAGAATCTACATCCTGGATGGTCCCAAGGTCTAGTCAGTAACATTTGGATTACTGTGAAACCTAGAATAGGAAGAGAAGAAAAAGAAGCTGGGGTGATCGTAGCCCCTACTACCGGGCAGATGGGTTTTGGAGTACTTCTTAGCATCATGGCCAAACAGCTATCAAGTGGTATGACAGAGTCAACTTGTGTTGACCTTCTGAGATACTTTTTTGCGTTCACTTTACTCTTTGAAACTAATAAAAGATAAGAAGTCTGGGAAGAGATAGGGGAGGGATTTTATCTCTGTAACTAACCTCATTCTCACTTTGAGGAAGGGAAGATGGGTCGCACTCACACACTGTGTTTTCCTTTGTTTGCTGCTACCCTTGAGAGCCCATTTTCCGTTGGCCTTAACCTGCAAGTGGATAGCAAACACAAAAAGCTTATGTGTCTGGTGATGGGGATTTGATTTAATTGCTAGTCAGGGGATATGTCAGGGTAGGATTTGTTGGAAAATCTAATCCTACAGTTTCCTTTGTGGGGTGGCTGGACCCCATCAGCAAAAGGGCTAGAATTCCGTGTGCCATTTGCTGCATCATTTCCTATCAACATATCTTATGCTAAAGCAGAAGCATGTATCCATGTCAAGCACCAAAAAAATGATCTTTGCAGAGACCTGGAACTGCATCCAGTTCTGGACCAAGACAGAAGCAAATTTGAAAATGTGAACATGGATGTTTCCTGTTTTTTAATAATATCCAGAGTACATTGTTTTTGCGATAATTAGCTCAGCCTGTCTCATGTCTTGTGTAAAGAACCCTGACCTTTAGCAGCCAGAATGTGGGCCTAGCTAAGCCTGAATGCCTAAACAGTTAGAATGTGGACCTAGCGAAGCCCTGGTAGCAATCTTAGGATAGGGAAACAGGGAGACGTCATCTTAGGTTAGATTTTTCTTAGAGGGGGGCGTGTCCTTGTTCAGGAAGCAAAGAGTAGATGGCCAGGATTGGTTAGGAATAGGGGGTGGAGCCTAACATTCAAATGGAAGGGAAAAAGTGTACTTTTTGAATTTGAAGCTTGAGTTTTGGCAGTTGGGATTTGTCAGTTGGGAGTTAGGTAGTCGGTTGGTGTTCACAGTTGGATAGTGCTAGATAGGAGAACTGGGTTAATCTTTTGTAGTATTCAAGGGCTAGAGGAATTAGCCAGGAATACTGACAGTGGGAAGAGGACCTTACTTATGGTCTGTTTCTTTTATTCCTGAGGAAGGCTAGTCCAAGGTTATTTGGCTAGATTCCAGAAAGTGGGAATTTAGTTTGGAATTATCATCAGAGATTAATTTCCTGAGATAATCTCCTGTTTGTTAACCCTAGATCTGAACCTAGTACCCATCTAAGAATTGTACATCAAACATAACCAAAAGCTTATGTACCATTAGCTTACAGAAACCATTACGCATTTGTACCAGAAGAGTTTAAGCCTGTTAAATAAACTTTTTATTATAGTTAACATTTTACAACGTCATTGGTATTTAAACCCTCTGAAGAAAATAAACACTAACTTAACACAAAAGGGTGTTACTAAGTATCCTCTCCACTCATGCAACTCTGCCTGAATACTAAGAAATAAGGTGGCAGCGTACCCAATTGAAGAAGTAGTTTTAAAAACTTCTCATTTCAAACGTCATTCATATACACATATATAGATACCGAAATAAATTGGTGCTACAGTGGTATTGTAATTCCTTCCTCCTTGATATCCTTATACACTGCCTGCCCAGCTAACAAGAAAATAGATATACTTTATTGAGCAGTTCTGGTCAGAGAGCAGTTCCATACTCATCTCATTTCCATTGCACAACATCTGTATGGAATTGTGGGGTTGTTTTTGTGTATGTGTGTGTGTCAGGAGCAACTTGAGAAACTGCAAGTCACTTCTGGTGTGAGAGAATTGGCTGTCTGCAAGGACGTTGCTCAGGGGACGGCCAGATGTTTTGATGTTTTACCATCCTTGTGAGAGGCTTTAATCCTGCTGGCACAAAGATTTAACCCACTGTGCCACCAAATTGTGGGCATATAATTCCTTTTCAAGAAGGATGCAGTACTATTTTTCTCTCCCCTGACCCACTTTCTCCTTTCTTCACAGGGCCACCTATAATCTCCAGCACACAGACGCAGCATGCACTTCATGGGGAAAAGGGCCAGATCAAATGCTTCATTCGTAGTACTCCTCCACCAGACCGAATCGTGAGTAGATGCTTTCCTCTTTGACATTGTGCACAAAGACAGTTTATATGCAATTTATATCCCTCACTTTCATTTTTTTTACAAAAAGATCAGGACGATTGATATACTGTTAAATTAATTTGAAGAGTATCAGGAAAATATAAAACAGAGCTAGAGGGAAAACAATGGCCAGAATTTAAATATGTAATTTCCTGGTCATGTCAGAAGGAAATATCCCCGGCCCTTTTCACACAGATTCTTGAAACGTAAAGGCCACCTCTGTGGTGCTGATTACTTGCCTCCAAGCCATGGAATGGGTGGGGAAGGAGACATGGGGACTGGTCAGCTATGTTCACAATGCTAATGTCATAAAGAAGGTTCTAGAACAGTGGTTCTCAACCTGTAGGTCCCCAAGTGTTTTGGGCTACAACTCCGAGAAATCCCAGCTATTTGGTTTTTCTGGGAGTTGAAGACCTAAACTTCTGTGGGCCCGCAGGTTGAGAATCAATGTTTTATTTATTTATTTATTTATTTATTGCATTTGTTAACCGCCGCTCTCAGCCCTAGGGCGACTCACGGCGGTGTACAACATATAAAAACAGTATACAGTAAAGCACAACAAAATCAACATTTCACTAATACACACTAAACTAATTTACACTAAGCTAATCCGCATCGTCACACATAGAATCATAGCCAATCTCATAGTCCGTATTCCGTTCCACTTGTCATTACCAGTTTGTATAGCACTCAATTAAATGCCTTTTCAAATAGCCAGGTCTTTAGGCTCTTACGGAAAGCCATAAGGGAGGGCGCCTGTCTGATGTCAACAGGGAGAGTGTTCCACAGCCGGGGGGCCACCACCGAGAAGGCCCTTTCTCTTGTCCCCGCCAGACGTGCCTGTGAGGCGGGCGGGATCGAGAGAAGGGCCTCCCCAGACGATCTCAAGGCCCTCGTGGGCTCATAGGCCGAGATGCGGTCCGAAAGGTATTTTAGAAGGTGTTGCACCTCAGAATAGATTTATCTTGCTAAAATCACCAGAACTGCACACAGACTGAAGTTTTCGTAGTTTATTAAAAAGTAAAGATGAAAAGTTTAAAAAGCAAATAATGTTCCAAAGATCAATAGACATAATACTGTAAAGCAGAATTCCAAATGGCACCAACGAAACAAAATCCCATGAGAACATGACAAAATCCCAAGACCATGGACACAGGAAAACAAGCACAAGCTGCTTGGTTGAGCGAGAAGTTGCTCTGACAAAGGTTTGTTTTCAAACACACTGCTTAATACCCTTTGCAATACATGAAAGCATTTCTTTGGCCTCTGACCTCCTTCTTGTTAGCTATTCTCACACTCCTTCGAACTCTGAATTCCAAACGGTCAGTCCGATCTAAGGTTCCCGTTTCATCAAGGTCAGGCTGCTTGTTAGTGTCAGCCTGGTTGCCTTCCTGCCTTTGCTGCCTATTGATATCAGGCTGAGAACTGTCCTCCTTTTCTGAGTCAATTTGCACCTGGCTAGTTTCAGTATCAAAAACATCATTCCCTGCTGTGGGAAACTGAACTTGCGCACCCTGTTCCTCATTGTCTACAATAGGAACATTTTGAACCTGATTGTGAACCTGAATCCCATCATCCCCGTCAGAGTCACTCTGAGACCCCATCTGAGTCACAACACTATCAGTCTGTGTCTGTGGTTCCAGCTGAGTCACAACAGAAGGTCCCAAATGAATCATAGTTGGAAGAGACCACATGGGCCATCTAGTCCGACTCTCCTGATAGTTGGCCATCCAGCCTCTGTTTAAAGGCCTCCAAAGAAGCAGACTTTGAAACAGAGAATTCCACTGTTGAATAGCATTCCTTACAGTCAGGAAGTTCTTCCTAATGTTCAGTTGGAATGATGCCTCCTTCTTCATGCACCTGGCTTTCGGAACATAGCAAGCCTTTTCTTGACCATCCCCACTCCATCACTTAAATGAAGGTAGGGAAAGAAAAGCATTTGGTGGGACTTGACACACTACTCGCTCTATTTAGAACCTTGGCCAATAAGATAAAATTCCACACCTTAAAACCAGTGAAAATTCAGAGTTAAAAAGTAAGTTGGTTTTGTTTACATCTAGGAAAAAAGAAAAAGTTTTTTTCTCTGGCACAATAAAGAGAGAACTTTAAGTACTAGGCAAGCTTCCCTCCATTCACAGATGACCCCATCTGGGGCATCTCTATCTGCCAAACCTTTTCGACAGGGAAAATCAGATAAGAGTCCCTGATACTGTTTTATCTGTGTACAATTTTAAAATGTATTTGATCATCCGGTTTATTCTCTAAGGTCTACTAATTATACAAAATGACCCCCAAATTGTTTCTATGTATTAAAGATCTAGCGGTATAATGATATTGATAGAGGATTGAAAACTGATGGAGAATTTCTAGTGCAGGGAAGGAAAAAAAGTTCTATCATGGCTAATCACGTCTTGCTTAAATGTGCAGGCTTGGTCCTGGAAGGAGAATGTTCTGGAGTCAGGTACCTCTGGGCGATACACAGTGGAAACTGTCAGCACAGATGAAGGCGTGATCTCTACATTAACCATCAGCAACATTGTACGGGCAGACTTCCAGACGATTTACAACTGCACCGCTTGGAACAGTTTTGGCTCAGACACTGAGATCATCCGGCTGAAAGAGCAAGGTGGGAATTGGTATTATGACATTTGGAAACCTCTCCCCAACACATACACACACACACAAAGAGAGTCCTGGGATGGTGATAGGGAGATAGAAATGCCAAGTCCTTGAAAATAGAAGAGAGGAAGCTCTATTTATGATGGGGCAAAAGTAAGGATGATATGTAAAGAGATAGCATAGAAGATCAATATGAATAAGCAGCTTCAACACGAAACAGAAAAATAGCATGAAACCGCATCGCAAGGTCTTCCCATGGGATCTTGGGGCATTGCCAGAAAGTGTAGCATCCCCACAATTGCTTCCTAAATATGTCCATTATCATTTTTGTCCTTCCTCCAAACAATTGGTCTTCTCTTGGGGTGTGGAGCAGCTGATTTGTGGATCTAAGTGGACACTTTCCTTCTTGGTTGGGTGAGGATAGCCTATTAAGATTCAAACTCAACAGAGGTTTTGTACTCCCAAGACAACTTCATTCAGAAATCACATGGCTAATTTTCTCAAACTAGGTTTTGAAGATCAAGAACAAGCAACAGGTTTCTGTGGCCCTGTTCTACTCCCCTTTCTTCCTCCCTCCTCTACGTAGCATAATATGATGTTTCCTGAAACCATAACCGGAACTAGAGCTTGATCCTGGTTTGCAAGCCTAGCTTGAGAGGGTCCCCCCCCCCAAAAAAAACCCCACCCTTTACTCAAGAACATCATGATGAATTTGGGCTTGAGAAAAGGAAACAAGTAAGCAGAACTTAGCAACTCTTCTCCTAAAATCCCACACCGCAAAATATGTTGAGCTACACCTGTCCTGGTTTCTATCCAATACATCTACAATACTACATTGAGAGAAGTTTGAAAATGTTATCTAGACTCTAGAGAAGTGCTTCCTTCCTTTCCTTCTTTTTGCCTGTGCACACTTTATCAATAGCAATATCACCAAGAAGAAAAAAGTAAATTTTTCCCACTTCAGATGTGAAAAATGATTTTTGATGAGAACAAGCGGCATCCCACCCAACCTAATGTCTTGCTCTACAAAACAACCTTGCATTAATTCATTTGTACTTCAGTGCATTGCATATTTTATACACATTTCCAGTCAAATTGTTACAGTGTGTAACTAGTGACTGGAAAGGTTCTGGAACTCTGTGATGGAGCAGCAAAAGTTACTTTTGCTGGGCTATCATTCCTAAAAAGGATTTTGGAAATATAGTCCCAAGAAGTATCTTTTCCAAGGTCTAAGTGACAAACATGCTAGTGAATAGGGAGAAGTATTCCAGCAGAAGCTGAAAGAAATGTGTCTAAGGCAATCTGATGGCTGCCATTGCATTCTATTGCTTTGGGATCATAAGACTGTAGTAGAAATGGGATGACATGAGTCAATTATAAGCCAGATCTTGCAAGATAACACTTTTAATAATCCTTGGAGACAGAAAATGAGAGGCATATCTGCCTCAAAAAGAGGTTAAGGATGCAGACATTTGGGATTTCAGGATTTATTTGGGAGGATATAATTAGTACTGTTCTTTGGGGATGCTTTTGGTCTCAAAAATAATACTCTGGGAAACCACCCCACACCAATGTTTACCCTTGTCTTTCCCATGATTGTTTTCCACTGTTCATAGTGACCTCTCCCCACTGCTTTATTAGATAACCATTTCATTCATCTTTTTGTGATCCCAATCAATCAGGGATCATGGATGTAATTACACATAGCATTCTAGCCAGTTGGATTTAACTGCTGGTTGATGCCACAAAGGATAAATGAAGCCTATGTAGAAAGAGGGCAATGCTTCCCCTTCAGATCTCATTCATGATCCTAAACAGTACAAAGTGAACAAGAGGGATGGAGTTATCCTTTCCAAAAAGATCTCAAAATTCTCCCAGTGGTGGCAGGTGGCTTTCCTGATAGTAAGGAAAGAAAACAGCACTTAGGGCCCTTCCACACAGCCCTATATCCTACCCAAAATATCAAGGCAGAAAATTCCCACATTATCCGAGTGTGGATTCAGATAACCCAGTTTAAAGTAGATATTGTGGGATTTTCTGCCTTGATATTCTGGGATATAGGGCTGTGTGGAAGGGCCCTAACTTCTAATGGTTCTCAACCTGTGGGTTCCCAGGTGTTTTGGCCTTCAAGTCCCAGAAATCCCAGCCAGTTTACCAGCTGTTACAATTTCTGGGAGTTAAAGGCCAAAACATCTGGGGACCCACAGGTTGAGAACCACTGTTCTAATGTATCTAAAGGGTTGTCTAGGTTCAGAACCTTGGATAGTTCTCTTAAAATTCAACACTATCCCATTGGCGTGAGAGCCATCAACTGCAACTGGGTTCTTTTAAAAGCAACCCCTTTGACCTCACCCCACTTACAATGTTAGTTTGGCTTCTAAAAGCATCCTAAGATGCGTAACTCCCAAAGGGAATGGTAAAATTGCTTCTGGAAGGCCTCCAGTTCTATCCTTTCCTATTAAGGGCTAGGACAGACAGGTGGATTACTCATTAAGCTCTGATTTATAAAGAAGGCTGCCATCCAGATTAAATTGGAACTAAATGAACTTCTTAAAATTAGCCTTCTGTCCAGTGCAAATAAGCTCAATGGTTTGGCTTCCAGTCTCCTGTCTGTGGAAAGAGATGTTGGGTAAGTTAGCAGATGTTTCAAAGGGGCTGCCATGAAGAAGTGAACCCCAGCACATGGCTCTCCAAGAGATGCTAGGTTGTCCAAAATGTAGTAAATGCAATTAAAGACCAAATCTAGGCCAACAATTTTGGAACATTTTAGAAGGGAAATACAAAATAGGCAAAACATGATCTGAGGCCCCTGGAGCTGAATGGTCGGTTAGACAAGAGAATTTTGATTCTGGGATGAAAATGTGTTGGGTGCTACAACAGTGACATCATGATTTTTTAAATGACTGAACTGATAAAAGAGAAGAAAAAGCAGCGGCCTCTTAGTAGCCAATTCCACCATTTGGTGCAGAGCACAGCTTGGGAAAGCTATTATTTTTAATAAAATCCCAAGGATTCCTTAGTGAATATATCCATTAGAGCAGGGGTCCTCAAACTATGGCCCGGGGGCTGGATACGGCCCGCCAAGGTCATTTACCCGGCCCTCGCTCAGGGTCAACCTAAGTCTGAAATGACTTGAAAGCACACAACAACAACAACAATCCTATCTCATTAGCCAAAAGCAGGCCCACACTTCCCATTGAAATACTAATAAGTTTATATTTGTTAAAATTGTTCTTCATTTTAATTATAGTATTGTTTTTAAGTGTCTTTTGCACTACAAATAAGATATTTGCAGTGTGCATAGGAATTCCTTCATGTTTTTTTCAAATTGTAATCCGTCCCTCCAACCGTTTGAGGGACTGTGACCTGGCCCTCTGTTTAAAACGTTTGAGGACCCCTAGCTTAGAGATTCTGGGAGCTGTACTCCAAAACAGTAGCTTTTCTGGGCTCTGAAACAGAAATTCCAGGAGTATTCCACATTACACTTGCAATGAGAAATTTTGTGTTCATGTTGGAACACAGATACACACACATCTGGCTAGGATAGAAAGCTAGGACATTAGGAAGAAGGAGAAAAACTGGAAACACTCAAAAGATCCCTTCTGTTGAAAGCCAACATTGCAATGGAGAATTCTATAAAAAAAAACCCCAATAAAAAGAGGAGTGTTGATCCAGTCGGGAGTGGGAGGGTGATCGAATTCCCAAACAACATTTATTTATTTATTTTAAAAAGAGGAAACTGGCAAAAGTTGGCAAGGCTGTAGACACTTGCTTTATTTTCAAACAGGTTCGGAATTGAAATCAGGAGCTGGTATGGAAGCAGGTATGGAATCATGAGTAAAGGTGACTATGTGAATGGCCTCTGAACTAATCCCAAACAAAGCAGGCTGGAGCTTCCCAGAAAAGGGAGAATTGTGGGTGGCAACAGGACATCTTAGAAAAGAAGCCCAGTTTGCATGAAGAAGCCACCTTGGTTTTCAAACTTCTCCTGCTCATGGGACTTTGAGTCTCTTTTATATGGGATCGTGTTCATATATTGGCTGTTCAGAGGGGAAATGTATTCATTTGTTTTAAAAAGAAACCCACAATGAGGAAATTTATGTATTGTTGTAGTATTTATCTGTGGTCCCTCATCATGTGTTGCTGGTGTCTACATATGGATCTGGCACTTTAAAAACCAGGTTACAGCCTGGTATTAAGCAAAATTAAATCCTAGGCACAGCCTATTCTTGCCTTATGAGGAATTTTTTAAATGGTCATCGCTAAAACAGATATTAGTTACTATGACTTTGTCATAATTGTGGGAATCTATTGCTTGTACCAAAGCTGTCTATGACCTCCCCGTTCCTTCAGTCTAGCAAATTTATTTATTTATTTGCTACATTTATATGCCGCCCTTCTCACCCCGAAGGGGACTCAGAGCGGCTTACAAGTAAAAAGTAAATACAATATATTATTATTATCATAGCACAATATTAATATTATATACAGGGGCAGCTCAACCCATTACGCAAAGTAAGCATTTGCGGTATAGTTGATTTTGCCCAGGGGCGCTCTTGAGGCGCTCTTGGGAGAAAATAGATCTTGACATATGCGAGTTGTCGTTACTGGGATGTATAGTTCACCTACAATCAAAGAGCATTCTGAACTCCACCAATGATGGAATTGAACCAAATATGGCACACAGAACTCCCACGACAAACAGAAAATATATATCAGTGATTGGTTGGGGGAAGGGGGGCAAAATACTGTTTGCTTACGGTTGAAAATTACCTAGGGCCGCCTCTGATTATATATTACATTGTACTATAACATTATACTGTAATATTATTAGTAATATTACCTTTAATATAAAATATATCCATAAGGCCTTGCTTGGAGAAGTTCCACTGGGAAATGGAGGCAGCAATGCTATTTAGTCAGTTCAATTCAAAGTTTGGAAAACTTAGGGAGATGGGAGGGTTTAGACTACAAGAATACATATGCCAACAGGGCCTTCCTGGCTGAGGATTCTCAGAACTGTAGTCACAAAACCCCTAATGTTTGAGCGCTTGAGTTTGCCATTTGTAAACTTACATTTACCATTGTCTTGAATATCAGCTCTGGCAGTCATGTCTTTATCCTATTAATACTGCCACTCTGTAAGCTGTACATTGTCATAACATCACAAGCTATCTTTGCTGGCGTTCATTTTCATTAGTCACCTAGGACTCTGTTTCAACTTCTCACTTTCCTCTGGATCTCTTTGCACGGAACTAGCAACATGCTGTCTAAGCCACCTCTTTTTGTGCTCAGCATGCATTTCTTGATGCGTTTAACAGGGAACATCACCCACACCCCAAACAGTACACCCTCCAACAATTCAGAAATGAAAACTGGGACATGTGTGGCCAAGCAACATCTGCTTGCTGTTGAGATGGCAAAGGTCATGAATGAGAACACAAAAGTTTTTACCTGAGTATAGTAAAAAAAGTCAAGATTCCACCCTTCCTGTCCTTTATATTTTGAGCTCGGTTTGTAGCAACTGAAATAAAAGCAGAACAGTGGAGAACAATTTAACAACAACAACAACACTTTATTTATATACCGCTCTATCTCCCCAAGGGGACTCAGAGCAGTTTCCAAGTAACATAATCAATACATACAAAAAAAAGAGCATAAACATAAATTTAACAAGACAATATAGGCATTAAGGTGGATTGTTGCACACACTTCACTGTGGTCAATTAGAAACTGAGTGAGGTGCACAAGATGAAATATATATCTGTTCAAGGCACAAATCTGGTATTTGAAAATTTGCAAGAGGGGTGGCAATGGGAGATTTCCAGAGATAAATCCTGTTGATTTATGGCCATTCTGTGGATTTCATAGGCTTTTCTTAGGTAAGAAATATTGAAAGGTGGCTTTACCAGTCCCTTCCTCTGACATATAGCTTATAGCACCTGGTCTTCATTTGCAATCTCCTATCAAAGTGCTAGCTAGAGCTGACCCTTCTTAGTTTAATAATAATAATAATAATAATAATAATAATAATAATAATAATAATAATACTTTATTTATACCCTGCTCCATCTCCCCCAGGAGGACTGTGTGTGGCTTACATGAGGCCATGCCCAAAAATACAGTAACACAATATAACACAAAAGCATACCAAAACCAGAAATAAAATACATAAAATGCAAAACCAATATAATGAACGATCAGCAAAAGCAAATCAAACATTAAAACACAAAGGATTAGGCTGGGCAGGGCCGAACTCAATGATAAAAAATTTAAAAACGCTGGGAGATAGGGCAATATAAATTATCGGGAGGAGAATCCGGGGATAAGGAAGGATTTAATTGCATGAACCATAAAATAAAGTGCTTCTGAGGTCATTTTATAAAAAGTTCGGTCTGGGAGTATCTTACATTCAATCACTGAACGCACATTGGAATAACCATGTTTTCAGGTTCCTCCTGAAGATTGCCAGCGTGGGGGCTTGCCTGATGTCTCTGGGGAGTGAGTTCCAGAGCTGGGGGCCCACCACAGAGAAGGCCCTCTCTCTCATCCCCACAAGTCGCACTTGCGATGCAGGTGGGAGCGAGAGAAGGGCCTCTCTGGAAGATCGAAGAGGTTGTGTGGATTCGTAGATAGAAATGCGGTCCCAAACCATTCAGGGCTTTGTAGGTCAAAACCTGCACCTTGAATTGGGCTATACATGTCTCAGTTGTCATCTGCAAAATGTTAGAGGCTATGCTACTATAACTTGTAGTGAAGGATCCCTAGCCAATGATATCTGGAGTACAAGACCACACATGTCCCACCTCTAGTTTAATCCTCTCCTCCTGCTGGTTTCCTGCAAAAAATCTTGTTATTTCTCTAAATCAGCCTGTTCTTTATTGCAAACAGAAAATCCCACTAATCTTGAGAAATGGGACACAGACTCCTACCCTATTATTTCCATAAGTATTCTGACTTCTATGAAAGGGTTAATAAGAAATGTAGGAATAACTACCCCTCTAAACGGGAAAGAACTATCTATGCAACTGATTCTACGCAATTCCTTAAAAAATATTTTTTCTCCTTTTCTTTTTTTGTGGAATGGGGGCTGCCAAAGCTAATGAGAGTGCCCCTCTTGGCAGTTAGCACCATTTGTGCCTGCCTGATGTCACATTAAAAGTCCTGAAAGCAGGAGTTAATTGGGAGAAAGGGCAGCTATATTAACATTTGCCACAAAAGTCAGGCGAAACTGTGCTGGAGCAGAAAAAAATGCTATTCCAACAACAGATAACAAAATGCCAGACCTTTTCTTAAAATGGAAATCTCTTCCAACATTAAAATGGTAATTTTAATTACTCACCCTCTACTCATGAAGTGTTTTTCCTAAACAACACAGAAAATCAGTTCCATAAGTAGGGAAATAATAGGTTGAAGAAATTGAGCTAGCTCATAGGGAGAAGTAGGTTAACATAAAGCACATGGTGCTTCTGTGCTCTGTGTCATATCTACTGCATGGTATATGACAGTGTTTGCGATCCTTCTTCTCTTGGTTGACATCATGGTATAGCCTTATCTGATGGCAGTGAAAAGCCACCAGAGAGGCAGATCAAGCTTCGCCATTCAATGCTAATCAATGTGGCCAATTGCAACATTCACACTTGCCCCCAGTGGCGCAGTGGGTTAAACCCCTGTGCCAGCAGGACTGAAGACCGACAGGTTGTAGGTTCGAATCCGGGGAGAGCGCGGATGAGCTCCCTCTATCAACTCCAGCTCCTCATGTGGGGACATGAGAGAAGCCTCCCACAAGGATGATAGAACATCAAAACATCCGGGCGTCCCCTGGGCAACGTCCTTGCAGACGGCCAATTTTCTCACACCAAAAGCTACTTGCAGTTTCTCAAGTCACTCCTAAAACAACAAAAAAAACTTGCTTCAAGTAGACGAGAGTTCTTTCTCCCACCCTAGACTTTCCACAGATATATAAGCCCCACTTGCCTAGTTTTAACAGACCTCACAACCTCTGAGGATGCCTGCCATAGATTTGGGTGAAACATCAGGAGAGAATGCTTCTGGAACATGGCAATGCAGCCTGGAAAATCCACAGGAACCCAGTGATCCCAGTCACGAAAGCCACCAAGGAGGCTTTCTCCCATATCCTTGTCAGATAAGTCATGAGATAGGAGGATGGGGAGAGAGCCCTTCTGTGCTGTCATGCGTTGGGCCTGTGAAAGAGTCTGTAGACAGGATGTGTTTTATGAATGCCCAACAGGATGCCAGGGGTGCCTCGGATGAGAGGCCTTTCGGATTTCCCCACACAACATTCTTTTAAAGACTTAGAAAGTTCAACAAAGTTTTAATTGTTGCTTAAATCTTCAATAAATCAAACAAATACTTCAAGGCTTTGAATCAACTGGTGGCTTGCTTAAATCTTGTCCACAAGGGACAGGCAACTTTCTTCATAAACTTCTACAAGGGAAATCATTGACCCCTTCCTGGGCAATCTAACTTAAGCTCTGCTGGTGTGGGCCCCTACACCCGTTCCAAATTGCATTATGGCTGCTGCGAGTGGTCCTTACCAAACAGAGTCCTTTAGTAGATTTCAGAGAGGAAAGAAGGCTTTCAATTCCCAGCGAAGGCTGGCTGTAAAACCATGGAGCTGTATTTCTCCAGCAAAGAGCTGGCTGTAGAGTTGTGGAACTAAATTCCCCAACAAAGGCTATGCTGGAGTTATCTGTAGAGTTGTGGGACTGGATCCCCCCAGCAAAGCTGTAAAAGACGAAGCTTTCTGCAGGTGGAACTGATTCACGTCCTGTACGCAAGGCTTCTCTGTGTGAACTGAAC